GATGGGAGAAGCTGGCTGAGAAGGAGGGGGAGAAGCTGGTGAGAAGAGGAAGGGGAAGAGAGGAGGGGAGAAGGGAGAAGGTGGTGGAGGAGGGGAGAATCTGGTGAGAAGAAGAAAGGGGAGAAAGCTGTGGAAAAAGAGGAAGGGAGAGAAGGAGGCGGAGTAAGGGAGCTTGGTGGAAGGAGGAGGGGGAAGAAGTGGGAGGCAAAAAAAGGAGGCAAAAAAAAGAGGGGGAAAAAAAGAAGGAAAGGAGGGGAGAAGGGAAGCTGGTGGAGGAGGAGGGGGAGAAGGGAGAGAGGTGTGGAGGAGGGGGAGAAGCTGGTTGGAGAAGGAGTAAAGGGGAGAAGAGAGAAGGTGGTGGGAGGAGGATGGGAAGAAGCTTGGTGGAGAAGGAGGGGGAGAAAGCTGGTGGAGAAATAGGAAGGGGAGAGGGAGCTGGTGGAGGAGGAGGGAGAGAAGGGAGAAGGTTGTTGTGGAGGAAGGGGAGAAGCTGGTGGAGAAGGAGAAAGGGAGAAGAGAGAAGTGGTGGAGGAGATGGGAGAAAGCTGTGGAGAGAGAGGGGGAGAAGCTGGCTGGAGAAATAGAGAAGGGGAGAAGGGAAGCTGGTGGAGGAGGAGGGAGAGAAGGGAGAAGGTTGTGGAGGAGGGGGAGAAGCTGGTGGAGTAAGGAGGAAGGGGAGAAAGAGAGAAAGGTGTGGAGAAGGAGAGGAATGGGAGAAGACATGGTGGATGAGAAGGGGGAGAGCTGTGGAGAAGGAGAAGGGGAGGAGGGGGAGAAGAGATACTGGTGAGAGGGGAAGAAAGGGAGAAGCTGCGTGTGAGAAGGAGGAAGGGAGAAGCCTGGTCCCGTAAACTTCCTCCTTGCTCCACCAGCTTCTCGCTTCTCCCCCTGACCTATCTCTACCAGTCTTCTCATAACGCCTACTCCCATCAGCTTTCCCTCTCCTTCTCCTGCCTGCCTCACTAGCCGCCCTACATCCTGCCTCGCATCAGCTTCTCCCCTCCTCCTCCTCCTCCTCCTCCCATCACCGCTATCTACCCTCCTGCCTCTCCCGCTCCTCCTCTCCTCCTCCAGCTCCTCCTTCCAGCCTACTGCCATCACCTTCTCTCCTCCTCCTCCTCCTCCCTCTAATCACCATTCCTCTCCTCCTCCTCCTCCTCCGCCTCCCTGACCATGCACCTTTGATTCTCAGCTCTCCTCCTGCCTCCTACTCCACACCTTCTCCGCCTACCCCTCCAATACCATCGCTCCTCCTCCTCGCTCCATCACCTTCTCCCCTCATCGTCCAGCCTATACTCCAATCCCTCTCCCCTCTGCCATCGCATCCTACCCTCCTACTATCATCTTGCCCCTCCTGCCTGCCGCTAACTCCATCACCTTCTCTCCTCCTCCTCCTCAGCTGCCTCCACTCACCTTCATTACCCGTCCTCCTGCCTCCTCTCGCATCCCTCCACACCCGGATCTCTCCTCGCTCGCTCCATATCCTCCTCCATCACAGGCTTCTCGGCCTCCTCCTCCTCCTTCCTCCCTTCTCCATTCACCTATTGCCTCTCGACTGCCTCCTCCTGCCCATCCTCCATGACCTCTCGTCCTACCTCCTCCTCGCTCCATCACCTCCCCCTCCTGCGCTCCTCCCTCCTGCCCATCACCTTCTCGTCCTCCTCCTCCACTGCCTGCCTCCTCCTCCATCGTACCGTGGCTTCTCCCCTCAATCCTCCTCCTCCTCCTAACCCTGCCTTATGGCACCGCCCAGCCGGGTAATCATATAATTTGGCGCGGACACAATTCCAGACCGGTCTGAGATTACCCAGTCTGAATACCAACGCTATGGCAACACAGGAATAATTGCAGGGTAATTTCAGATGCGCGCGCCGCCGTATAGCGGCACACCGTCTGAGATTACCCCAGTCTGAAATTACCGCAACCCCCTATGGGCACACACTAGGGATACTAATTTACAGGGTAAGCAGACTGGGGGAATCTCAAGAGCGCTGAACGCCCAGTCGAATTTACCCATCGCTCCTGCCAGACTAATCTCAGCTACTGTGGCCGCGGACAAGTCTTCATTCATCCAAAGCGGCTTTAAACTTGCGCGCCGCATAGCGTCACGCATGCGCACAGAGGTGGCTAAGGGGTAATTTCAGACTGGGGTAAACTACTCAGACCGGACACGGCGGGCATATATACCACTGTGTTTAATAGCTCCTTGCAGGCTACACAGGCACACACAGGCACTTGCAGTATATGCAACAGTAAAATACGCCGCCGCCGATCGCGGACACTGACACATATATATTAAGTGTTAAAGACTTAATATCATATGTGTCAGTGTACGCGGATGGGCGGCGGCGTATGTTTACTGTTGATATGCTTTCAAGTGCCTGTGACAGCACACGGATACTACGCGACCATATCTTCAATACATTGGCATACTTCATATGCAAATGACAATGCTTAGTGATAAAGCTCCTACCGAAGCAACAATACTAGCTGGTTGACTGCGCAAAGCAGGGACCGAAGGAAAGTTCTTCTCCTTGAAGATTTAGTAAAAGGCACGCGAAAGAGAAGAAATTCCTTACGAGGCCGAGCCATGATTTCAATTAACGAAGATGACATCCAGTATCCAGCATTCCATCTCTTTGTTCACATCGCCTATTAAACAGCGAAATGTGGCTACTAAACAAGCGAAAGTATAAAAGGAATTGTGGCAAGAATTGTGGCAGGACATGTGTGCGGAATGTGCAAGATGTCGGCGCGAAATGTCAGAAATGTGCAAGAATGTGCGCAATGTGCGATACAATTAACTGCCGCAATGTATCAAAATGTGTAAAAGTTATACTAAAAGCTAAGTAGCACATTTCGCTGTTTAGTAAGAGCCTGCACTCATCAGATAACATGGCGACCATCGTCCATGGAGTTTTCTTACAGCTTACTGTACAGGCTAGGAAATAATAACACAAAACTTGATATTCTGGTGCAGCAGGATATTAATACATACAGACAATGTGTGTAAACCGCATGCGTTTCTTGTTTCTGTAGTAGCGCTGCAGTATCCAAATTTAGCATCAAGGCAACGGAATCGAGAGATGTGAATCGTTTAATATTATTAAATATTAATGAAATTATTATTAATTACGGATTATTGTTATTGCGGTTTCGCGGACGTTAATGCGCTAGTTGAGTACTGCAAGAATTGGGGCCCACGATGTGCCTGACACTGCTGAACTTTGAAGCAGATGAATCTGTCTGTGGAGAAGCGCTTAGCAGGTTGTCTTAGTATTGCATAGCTCCCAGCTTACTGATATCAATAGTAATGATACATTAATTGAACCAACACTCCGTGTTTGTACAACTACAACTTAATGCTGATAGGGTCTATGTTCCCGCCAGGGTACTGCGGAACGTAACCCTTGGTACGGTCCGGTATACCGAACGTACCTGGTAACCTATCTGATATGGCTGAACCATACTCGCATGAGCTCCCTACTGTACCCCCGCTGTCCTGTTCCAGCTCACAGTACTTGAGAGTCGCAAAATTAAATATAATACAGACACATGTGATGATATCTTTAATATAAGTTGGAATGGGATATCCGAAACTGTGAATAACGCAAGGAAGCAATTTGAAACCAAGATCGGAATGCGTTTTTCCTTTTTGCAATGTTTACGCACATTTCTGTGCATTTCGGCGTGAGATTTTGAAGAATGGCTCAAGTGTTGTGGTGAACGTAAAAATTTGTATAATTATCTTAATTGGGATTGGAAACGTATAGACCTCACTGACACTGTAGAAAGGGTCCGGGAGTGAAACTAAACAGGGAAGGGTTACGAATATTTTGGCGGGAACGGATCGGAAAGCAAGGAAGCGGAGCATAGCGGCGCCGTTCCTGCGATCAAGCGGTGTGTATTACGACATCGCTGAAAGTCGGGCGTACGGTTTGGAAGAGGCGAGGTATGGTCGCGCAATATTGAAGATAGTTACTGCAGGGGTAATCGTTCCGGCAGTACCTGAGGACATAGACCCTATCAAGCACAACTTACAGTTAACACTTAACAAGATACTTCGGCCATGCCAGTAAAAATTACAAAGTTCTGGTACATATTTTAATCGTGGTGCTTTGATTTATTGTAGGTTTATGGAGCATAAGATTCAGTGCCGAATTACGTGCAGCCATACACGGCATTTACACAAGCTGTTTTCTAGGCAGATGGTGATCAAGACGGACGAGCCTATTCAATATTCCACAAGTCCTGCGACAAAAATCATGGATCCATGTTCGCAAGTAAGCCCTTTGACGGCAGCTGTAGTGTTGAAAGAAACTACAAATAATTAGGCGTTTCGCAATTGAACTGTCATATAGGAGTGTATCGGCGTTTCTAATCTATTTCGTTATACGAGAGGAAAACGATATTGACGATTGAACTAGGACGTGCCGCTTGATAGATAGGATGAAAGGATTGAAGAGACCTCAACTGAAGACAATCATTGTGAGTACAACAGCTCCAAGGGCTACCAACGGAGAAGAAGTCGAACAAAGGCTAAAAGAGATCGAGGACTGGAAAAATCTTATGAGAAACAGCAACAGGACAACAAATTATGAATTTGTAACAGCAGTGCGTTGTTCAATTATAAGTTAAGTTACTAGTTTGCAAATTGTGTAACGTAAATAATAAGAAATTTTTTAACATT